AGCATGGAGCGTCTGTTGGCTGATATTAATAACAGTAATAATGCTGTAAGACATGCCTTGCTCCCATCTAGACCAGATTACTATATTCAGAAATTCTGGCTGATGCAAAATATGACAGCAAGAGTTTAAACAGAAGGTGTTTTTTTAAAAAAGCAGTAACAATCGACCATTGGGTTTTTGTTTGGTTGTCCATTTACTTCCAAGATGAGCTCAAGTGCCAGTCATCAACTTTAAGGCTATACAGTAAATAGTTTGGGAATAGCCATCCCACTCATTCCTGCCATCACAGCAGAATCCTTGAGGTCCTGTGCCTTATGTCAGTAGCTGTACAGCCGATGGGCATAGCAAAACAATTTACTATTTGTACTATTTTTTCAAACATTTCCATTCCAACTTTCCATCTAAAGTCCTCGGGCCAGGATACAAGCAATAAAGCACTTCCAAACAAGTTGTAAAAGTCAGTGGAAAGAGTATACCTATATCAGAACTTCACTCCCTAGTCATGCCAACCCTTAGAAGGCTTTGGTAAAGAACCAAATTTTTGCTTCTCACCAAAATGAGGCCAACATCAATCTCAATCAGACCTCCAAGAAGATAATATTCCACAACAGAGCAAAAATATCCCTTTCCTGTGTCTCCATATAATGCTCCTACTGGTAATACGTGCTCATCTTTCTCTTTGAAATAACTAGGAAATAAACGGATTAAACCCTTTACTTCTTTCAGATAATAGATACTGATGTATGCATAATTACGTATTGATTTTAAAAAATCCAGCATCGCTGAGCAGTGGTCTTGCATGCACAGAACACATACAACAGGCAAACATCCACCAACTGCACCCCCGGAAATATAAGTATAGTTCAGGAATAGAACACATGTACATCCCTGCATAGAAAACATACATACAAATGCACACACAAAAACCCAGGATCCCCAATGTGGTACTTGTGGGTAGTAGTGTATCCAAAGATACTTTCTTTACTATTTGCCACCCACCCTGCCCTTTGAATGAAGAAGAGAAAAACTGGTGTGCTGAAAAGAGAAGGTTTGGCCTTTAGTTCCTTCTTTATTTCCAAGAATGCCTCTGGGTGCCACAAATGCTCTGAAAAAATAAATACAGTGGGTAGCTGCAGGTCAATAGTTTAAAGGAGGTAACAGAAGCTGAGAGGATGTCATACCTGTGTGCTACATGTATGTATTTTGCCTAGGTTTTGTGCTACGGATTTTATGTGTTTGTTGCAGGATTGCGTTATGCATGTTTTTCATTTGTGCATTTCTCTATGTTTGCCTCACATATGTCTTCTGTCTGGCTATATATATATCGCTTTCACAGAAAACAATCTGATGATGCTCAGAAGCATGCACATATATACCTAAATACAAGCAAAATACAAAAACACCAAAAAAGCAGGCACACTTCTAGCAAAGCACAGGTATGAACATAGCCAGACAGAAGACATATGTGAGGCAAACATAGAGAAATGCACAAATGAAAAACATGCATAACGCAATCCTGCAACAAACACATAACACATATATATATCGCTCTTTCTAATTTACTTCTACCCAGATCAGTTTGCCTTCTATGGCAACTACTGTGTAATTATCATCATTATATTCTGTCAACGTTTCTGACATGCCCATAGGTTGCCAAAATCTGGAGAGCCTTGGATAAAATCTTCATTAGATGGCTGGCTGTCCACTTATTGAAAAAGATCTGAATCCAGTTTCTTCCCCCTCCAACAAATGATTCATCCTGCAGCCGTTGGTTGGGTTCATGGTGTTCCACTCCACATCCTTTTTTAAAAACTTACTACATTTTAAATTCTTTTCTATCTTGAGGATTATTCTGAAAAATTTTGGTGAGCCCATAAATACTATAAATCAGTTTTGCTTCAGGGATGGGGGAGATGCATGTTCGGGTCAATAGATATTTTCAGATAAAAATGGCAGGAATTCATAAAGGTTGTTGTGGGTTTTCCAGACTGTTTGGCTGTGTTCTTAAGGTTTTTCTTCCTAACGTTTTGCTAATATTTGTGGCTGGCATCTTCAGAGGACAGGCGCCAGAAATCTGTCCCCCCTCTGGTGTAGTTTGTTGGATAGTTGAGTATTTATAGCTGTGGGATCAGCTTTTGTCCTTTTCAGGAAATTGGGTGATCATCGTGATCAGCGTGTTTTTGTTGTGGGTGTATTCTGATAAGGGGGAGAGATGATCTGTCACTGTGATTGATGGGTATCATTAGCTAGTCTTTTGTGTGCAGTGATCACAGGTCCTTGTGACCGGGTAGAGTTCGTTGACCTTTTGCAGGCTGTATTTTTCAGTGCTGGCAGCCAGACTTTGTTGAGTTTTAAACTTTCTTCTTTTTGTTGAAGCTCTGCTGGTGTTTGTGGATTTCAATGGCTTCCCTATGCAGTCTAACAATGATTGCTGGTGTTGTCCAGTACTTCAGTATTTTGAAACAGAATTTCATGTCCTGCTTGTTTTACGGCATGTTCAGCTAATGCCAATTTTTCCGATTTCTCATGTTCTTTGATTCTGGTGTGAATGCTGCATTTTGTGGTTCCAATATATACCTGGCTACAACTGCAAGGTATTAGGTATACTCCTGCACTGGTGAGGGGTCCATTCTGTCCTTTGCTGACCATAACATCTGTTATATTTTTGTGGTGAGCCTGAATACTGTTTGTAGGTTGTGTTTTTTCAAAAGTTTCCCCATGCGGTCCGTGACCCCTTTGATCTATGGCAGAAATACTTTATTTGTGGGTGGCTGTTTTTCCTCTTCAGTTTGGTGTTGTTTTCTTAGTTTGATGGCTCTTGTGATTTCATTCTTGGAATAGCCATTTGCCTGTAGGGCCCAATTCAGATGGTTGAGTTTCGTGCTGAGAAATTGAGCTCCACAGTTCTGATTTGCACGGTCTACCACTGTTTTGATTATGCCTCTTTTTTGTTGTTGTTGTTGGTTAGAGTTTTTGTTTAGGTACCAGTCTGTGTGAGTGGATTTTTTATAGACCTTGTGTCCCAATAGGAGGTCAGTTTTGTGTATGACCATGACATCTAAGAAAGGGAGTTGTCCCTCTATTTCTTTTTTCATAAAGGCTTTTCGTTAAAGTATATAAACTGCTAAAATCTGTCTTGAAAGGCATTTGACTTAATAAATTTTAAGTCTCTAAGGAAGTCACAAGGGACTAGTCTGTAAACAATTCACATATTTTTAAATGTGTAACATGTTTTCAGCAATGCTGTCTACCCTCAGAGGCTTGTACCACACTGAAATAATTGATCTCTCTATAACTTATGTAGATTCAGCTGAGGGGGTGGGTTAATGTTAATTATTTTACTGTAAAGGCCCAGGGGAAAAAAAGAACTCTGATAATTAGAACACAATATTCAAACAGATTTTGGAATTCTCGGTACTTTAAAGTGTAGTTTGAATATGACAGAGGCTTTTGAGAAAATGCTGAGGTTGCTCAATTAAAAAAAAAACTAAGGTAGCAGCTCTCCACACTCAATCTGACTAGCAGTGAGACTGTGACAAGTAGATTTGTTCAACTGGATAATGAGCTGAAATCTTCAAATTTTATGGATGTCCTAGCTAAAGGGTATCCCCAAATGCTTTATATACTATTCATGTATACCTTAAGACAAGGATAATGGTTTTCATAATAACAGTGCATTTCTAATTAGTCACCCATCCCTCTTGCTAAAATCTAAGGAATCCCTAATAAAGTGTCCTTCTTTGAAGGAGTTTAAAGAACAGATGTGTGAAGGAGGAGTATGTGAGAGTGAGCCATCCGTAGTGATAGAGGCCATAGAAGAAAGAGAAGATGGGAGGAGTGAGGAAGAGCAGGGGACTGAAGAAGTGACAGTTACAAAAGAGGCGGGAGAAGTTGAATTAAAGGAAAAGGCGGGAAAGGTGGAGGTTTGTTTAGTCAAGGATGACATAATATGAAAGAAAGCAGAGCAAGAAGTGACAGTGTGGGAGGAGGATATAAGCGAAGAGGGTGTACATTGGTTTAGTTCAGTGTTGGGGGATTATGAGAGAAAGAGGGAAGAAGTGCGGAGGAGAGAAGTTGAGTATGTAAGGACTCAAGGACTTCTGAGAGATTTTCCCCACTTGAAGGTGGGAGGACTGTTGCTTGAACTCAAGCCGAAGGAAGACAAGCTGACCCAGTTCCTAACCAAGGAATGGACTGTGATAGTGGCACCGCGCGAGCTGGAATTACAAAGAGAGGTTGAGATAGCCCATAATTGTTTTTATGACAGACTGGATGAGCGAGGTTGGATGAGGCATGCGTGTTGTGGGACAATCTGTGCCCTGAGAAGTACTCCTCCCTGAAGGCCAGTGTACCGGGAATGGTGTGGGAGAACCGCCCACTGAGTCTGTGGGAGTATGGGAAGAGTTTGGGTTCCTTTAGTTGAGGCCTGTTGCCAGAGTTAAAAATCTTTGACCCTATGAACAATGTGCTGGAGGAGATAAGTGACAATAAAAACGACAGTTTGAAAGTTATTAAGACATCTCCTGTTTTATTTCCCGCCAAAAGTGAGGAGTTGCCCAAAGAGAACACAGAACCCAATCACAATATGTCAACCTTTTATAATGCTCTTCTTATTGTATGCCAATGTTTCTCCTTCTTTTCCTTGAGAAAGGTCTGCCAGCCATTTTATAAATTACTTAATTTTTTAAAATAATTCACTTCTTTTAATATTATTTAATAATACCTCTGAATACATCACTCCTGATTTGAGCTGTGAATTTCCCTTACCATTTTGTATATAGCAAGCTTGGCTACAAATGCTATAATTTAATAAACAGAACAGGAGGGGACAAATATTTATAATGGATAGTGGATGTACAGAATAAAGGCAAGACCTCAGTCACATTTTTGCCAACTTTGCTCATTTCTTTTCTTTCATAACTGTAAGACACAGCCCGCCCTCCAGAAAACAGCAACATCCATCCCAATGATACCACAGTCCCACCCCCAAATATTTTTACCTCTCCTGCATGGGGGGAAGTTGTATCCAGCTGTTAAACCTAGGATCATACCGGCTGACAAAGTTTGTACTGTGCTTTCCTGTAAAAAGATTAGTTTCATGTTTAGCTCTTTGTTTTTTATCATTAAAAACCACAGTTTTCTACTATACTCCTTTCTGTTCTTGATAACCAAGGCAGTTTATCTTTTATATCATTGCATTTTTAGAAAAAAAGAAAGAAGGAAACAAGAATTACAGCTTTCAACAGTTATCTACAATAATAGTAAAACTACAAATAAATTATTCTGGCTATATATATAGATTATGAATGATTTGCTGGAAATTAGATGCTTTCATTTCCCCCCCCCCTTCATGCACTAAATCTGCATTAATAAGTGCAAAATCGGTTGTATCCATTTGTTTTACCAAATTTATTTCTGACCTACCTTTTGACCTAAGTTAGGCCCTCAAAGTGTGATCCAGGATCATGTATGACAGTGATCCCCAACCCTTAGGCCACGGACTGGTGCTGGTCTGTGGCCCTGGAAGGACTGGGCTGCCGGAACAGATGAGCAGCAAGAAAAACTCTGCCTCCTGTCATTGTGCTCCTATTAGGTTCTAATGCCACTGCTGATTTGACAAGAGGCAGAGCTTCACGCCCCGCTCCCCTCCTGCTGCTGCTAGATCAGCTATGCCTGTGGCATTAGAATCTAATAGGAACCTGCACTCCTATTAGGTTCTAAGCTGCTGCAGATCTAGCAGGAGACAGAGATTCAATTGCAGCTCACCTCTTGCTCCTGCTTGCCATTTTCTTTATGAGCTTGATTCAAAGTTATCCTCCAACAACCTACTGCATAAT